ACATATGTCCAATACAATTTATAAATAAATAAGGCAATGTGCTCGCTGTCCAACAATCCGCCCAAGGCCAGAGGCGAAGATTTCACCCTGATTTGTAAGGAAACAAGATATTTTTTTGTCGCAAATATACGTAGCTTAAAACGGTTTAAGAAAATTTTGTTGTTAAATGTATAGATTTACGAAATTCCAACTTGCATGTATCATGATAATTTTGAGCATAAGCGAAATAATGAAAAAGAAACAGACCATGTGAAAATTGAACAACAAGCTAACATGGCGTGAAACCAGCCCTAAACACAGTTCTATCCTCAGACTACGTGGGTCAGAATGTGTCATCGGTAAAAGGGACCAAAATGTCATACAATTGTAGGTTTCGTAATATATCTACAGAACAAAGGCGATGTTTACAGTGGTCAACGGGATACACGTTGACCAATAGTCAATAAGGTAGTTTTCTATACTTGGCTCGACAATTCAATAGCCTTACAACAACACTAAAATTGACCCTTGCATTGTGAGGTTAATCCGAGATTATGCCACAACACCTCTTTCAATTGATGATCTGACATTTTCGGCCTTGATTTTTGGACCGGAGAGATAGAGGTTTATTTCGGAATATTACCACAGGGACCTGAGAATTTGTTACAGCTATATTTGGACCTAAACTAAGGAGTTCAGAGTAATTTTATATGTTTTAGGGGTTTAGATCGACTTTCGGTAAAAATGACCCCCCCAATGATTTGCGATTTGAAAAGTAAAACATGTATTGTTTTCTTCTACAAGTCTCTGCCACGGTAAATAGGCTAGCAACTCCACGTGGAACTCTTCTTCGTTGCAGAAATAATAAAAAGTACTGGGACTCTCTGCCTTAAACTGAGATTCAGGCTGGTTGAAACTGCGATAAAACAGTGGTAAGACGTGAGCTACATAGCTTCACATATGGATTCTATGATATAAACAAAAGTTTTTAAATATTCTTGTCCACGAGAAGAGGCTCGAGGGGGAGACAGACGAGGAGAAAATGGAGGAGGTGTCTTTAATTATCCTATCCCCGAATTCCGCGCTATTACACAAGTAACATATGTACATCGGAATGACTATGAATATCTTGAGGTTTATCATTCGTTTGTGCACTGTAGCAGCCTATCACCCAGACCCGGCTATTCCGATAATATTCGAAATTCCGTAGAATACCTCGCCATGTTCACAGACACAGCCTTGCTCCAGCTGTGGAGTGATTTCGACGTTTGAAACGAGAAAAGTTCGAGTCAGAGCGTCAAGATATCCGAGACGAGAGCTCTGGATGGGTATGGGTAGGTTATACTATCTGTCAGCTTTACCTACCGAGCGATTTCTAAACTAAATATCATAAATCTTATTTTTCAGTTTCCTTTTAGTGTCGAGACGATTATCGTATATCGCTTATGTTATTTGATTCCTGTGTTACTTATAGAGTTCTCTCCTGGATTGTTTACAGTTCGTCGTCACAGCTTGTACATTAAGCTGTCCAATCATTGCCTCCTACTGTGTTCACAGTATCTCTCAGACAGCTTCCAACGGACTGAAACGTCTCTATTTTATGAGAGAGAAATGATAAAGATCTAGCAGTCGATGATACACTGTGTTTATTTCATTTACAGAAAAGTCTCCCCGAGTTGTACTGAAACACCGCTGTTTGGCTTCCGAGGATAGAGTTAGATAAATGGAGAATTTCAATTACACCTAGAAATCAATTTTCGAAGTTAAAATTGAAATCAGCAGCATGAATGCGTCATCAAGTGTTTTAATTGAATTGATCAAAAATATATTAACCCTTACTATACACAGGGACCTGAGAATTCATCACAAGTAAGTCAAAACTAACATGTTGTAATGTATTCTCAGTTCCCTATGGTACTGACAAGTGGTATAACTCATTTGTATTATAGATTCTCAACTTATTTTAGATTTTTTGTACATATTTATTATTAGTTACATTTCCTTCCCGGCTTTAACGTCATTGAGCAGCAGATCAATGATTGGTATAACCTAACGCACAAGAATGTAGCTCGCTTGGCATAATTATGCTTTCAGCCGCATTTCTTAAGAGTTTAAAAGATCAAACAAAAATAAAAAACATTATTTTATTTGATATTTCTTTTGTCATGTTTCTACCAGGAATTTCATTGTTAATCATATAATAAATAAACTGTTCATCAAAGAGCTTTGTATAACTGAGAGAATTTTGGTAAGGATTTACTATTTAATACACACTTGTAAAACCCTTATTATTTTCATGTATATTTGTTTTCTATTACATTTCTATTACGCTTCCCTGCATTAAAAGGTTTTACATACATAAAGATGAAATTTAAATCCCTGACAGTTATAATTACATACTGACCATATAACAAAATTAAACCCAATACAAATACAACTTTAAGTATAATGTTTGAAGCAGTATTATATGTTGTGATTTAGTTTTTGGTGTTTTTTTGTCGTTTTCAGAATTTCATACAGAGCGGACGAACTGCACACACGTCACTGTCACACATTGTCCTCTAACGGTTCATTCCGAGTAGCATAGGACGCTGTCCATTTCTGAGGTGTAGTCTTGATTATAATGCATTTCGTGGCTTCATGTGGAATTGGTTTGTCCTGATTATTGATCTTGGGCCATAAAACATCGTACGGTATAGACGCGAACCTCCTACACGTGTCAAACGTGTCATACTGAATTCCCAGGTCCCTGTGATCATTTATTTTATTTTAAACGCTGGTTTCATATCTCCAGAGAATGGTGTAATCAGTCATTGTCGTATCTTGGTGAAGATTTTGTTGACGTTTTCAGACGTTCAACGTTGGACCACGCGTGAAGTACTGTAAATCAAATTATTTTTGCAAAATTTTATCCGCGATTTGGCTTCTAATTTTGTTTATTTGCATACAATTAATTTAGAGACAACGATTCTTAAATGTTCGAAAAACGTCAGCAACGTCGAACAACAACAAAGAAAGCAAATGAATAAGAATAATGTTTCATAACTTTCATATTTTGGATACATATTATATTTCTACGAATAATTTTTAATCCATATCATTAACCTCCTTCGCGAAGTTAACGCAATCATATAAACTCAGAGGAAGCGTACGGTATCCATTGCCTGTAGGTTAATATATAGGTAGTAATGACTTTGAATATTGAATGAATTTGATCAAACTTGTGAAAGCTTACAAACACTATGTATCTGAATGGATTGTCACGCACGTGTATGATACCGACAAAGCAGCGAATCATGATAACGGCTACCGTAACAGTACTTTACAGATTGTCATACCTATATTCCTATCTATATTACCAGGTGTTACCTTCAGAATGGTGTGTGCTAATGACAAAAGTAGCGCTAACTCGCCGAATATATTATAGTCATTGTTGTCAGACTTAAAATATGGTTTTAATTTGTTTAACATGTACTCCATAGCCCGCTTATAAGTGGACAAGTATGCACAACTTCAGTTGGGGGTTGGGGAGGGGCAGGGGGTAGGGAGGGGGCTGTTAAGACGAACTCTAGTAATGAAGTGGTGACGAGGGGGAGTGAAAATGCCCTGATTACTCTCACGCCTAAAATATAAGAATACTAAGACTTGTATCTATTAAAATCATTGAGAATCAAACTCTCAGAAACCTATCCTGAACACACCAGTCACTACTTAACCCTTCATGACGACACATTAATACAAAACTCCATCCAAACCCATTCTTATATCACGAGAAACTGTGCAAGCTGTAGACTTGTAAACAGAAATAGTATACTTTCCCGACATTTCAGGTTTTTCTAGACCCGCATCTCATGCCCTACTGTCAGTTGTAATATTTAAGAATCAGGCGATCAAGTTCATATTTTTGACACGACTCTCCACGTTTCCCCGATCCCTTGGCACAATGCCTTCTCTTCCTTACAAGACACCTACCCTCTCTGCATCCCGGGCCCTCTCTGCACTCCTATCCATCTCCCACATCTGCACCACGCCCCCTATTTCCATCCCGTCCCATCTCTGCGCAACGCCCCCTCTCTCCACCCGTCCCCTCATTCTGCTCCCTCCTGCCCTCTAACCCACCCATCTCTTTACACTCCCTTCTCTCTCCATCTCCACACAACGCCATCTCCGACTCCCCCCTTTTTTCTCTGCATCCCAGCCCTCACTGCATTCTGTCCCCTACTTTCTTCACCCTACCCCTTCTCCATGCATCCTACCCCTTCTCCATGTATCCCCTTCTCCCTGTATCCTACCCCTTCTCCCTGTATCCTACCCCTTCTCCCTGTATCCTGCTTTTGTATCCTCTTCATCAACTCATGTCTTTGGTATATTAAGGTGGAACTGCAGTACATTCGAAATCGTTCAGCCAAAAGATAGCTCACGTTTTATCAGCGAGACTGTTCGATTCGTCTGCGCAGTAAATTGTGGATATTACGAGAACCGTGATCTATCATGTATCACAAATTACAAAATTACGGTTACAAATGGTCCCTCGGCATACCAAAGAGGAACAATGGGCCATTACGAGCAACAATAAAACCACTTTAAACATGCCGGTAGGCTTTATGAAATGAATACCACATTCTATTTCTTCATTGTATTATCTATCGTAAAATAGAACGAAATATATACTAGTTTATTATGGGAATAGATATGACTGCTTCATGCAGTTTTTGATTATATATTTAATATACTGGTTATACATTTTTATAAATGCTTCACAATAAAATGTGTATGATAATATTTTATAGTATAATTATATTCAGTGTAGGCTATTTTGAGACTAAAAGTTCATTACAGTGCCAAGATTTGCACTACATTCACCCAAAACAGGGACGTGTATACATGTATATATGCAATGCAATGAATATACGTGTCGTAAAATACTTCTGTCGCGTGAAAAAATATGTATATCAGCATGTTTAGCTTCATAATGAGAATGTGTGTATAAAGTTTTGCAACAAATGCAATGATAGACATACCTTATGACTTCTAGAGATGGATCCGTTACGTACTTAGCTGCTCGCTCGTGCGGCACTGAATAAATTGACGAACACGTGCGTCGACACTTATCTTTGCTGGTGTACAGCTGGTCGGAACCTAGGGAACGACGGCAGGCACGCGTGCGGTGATACTTAAGGTTATTTCCACGCATGCGCGTAATTGTCTTGTCGCATCTTCATATATTTGTGTGAAAAACAGGAAAATACAAAAATAGACACAGGAGGAAGAGAGCGCGTTATTGTTTTGTTTGGGAAATTGATTACAAGGAAAACTAGAAAACGATATGATTAAGTTGAAATCCGGCGTGCGCGTATTCTCACAGTGTTGGATAGAGAACGTTACATCTTTACTGCAGTGAGCGTCGAGTAAGGCGTGAAAAATAATCATGATTGATGATATCAATTCATAAAAACCTTAAATGACAATGATAGCTATACTTGTAGATATATGTAACTCCCCCGTACCCATACACTACTAACAGGGAGTGGTACTACACTAGCTAACCGAAGTATGTACCTCGCCAGTACCCATACACTACTAACAGGGAGTGGTACTACACTAGCTAACCGAAGTATATAACTCCCCCGTACCCATACACTACTAACAGGGAGCGGTGCTACATTAGCTAACCGAAGTATATAACTCCCCCGTAACCATACACTACTAACAGGGAGTGGTACTACACTAGCTAACCGAAGTATGTA